ACTATATTTCATAAATTTACTTCTCAATTTAATAAGCCAAATCACTAAACTGCACCCTTCGTTTTGTTGCTTTTATTCATGACTCACAAAAATTTGTTAAATAATTTTATTTCTGCGTGAACACTTTTCCAATGCCAGCAATCAAGGCATAGCAATTTAAAAGCAACTATTTTTAGCGCCTGCATTTGCACATTTATATACTATATGGAAAGTATAAAAATTCCCATTTAATTAATGGAAAAAAAACTCTAAAATTCACTTTTAAAACACTTGTTTGTACTTTGTATTAATACTGTTATGCCATGGGGTTTTTTTTGTATTATTCAAGCATTTCTTTATAGATTACAACTTCACTAAGCGATTGTTCTGTGGCAACTAGTGTCGCGTATAATTGAAAAAATCTCAGTTGGACGATGAAATTTGGACTTTTTCTAATTGTGATGTAAACTGCAGAAATTACGTGGTTGCAGCTTTTGGTGCACTTGTGCAAACATACATATGTATAAGCTTTTATTTGCTTTATTTGATGATCTTTGCAAGAGAAATTCTTAAATAGACGTCACTCGTTTGTGTACTTTATGAGGTAATGAAACGACGCGCATTCTGCATTTTTGTTGTTTTCAAGGCGAAATATAGAAAGAACAAAAACAAAACATTTAGTTCACGAGTCCAAAGGATGTAAGAAGATTATTTCGATTTTCATCAGAAAGTTTGTATGACAGCTATAAGTGATAGTCATCCATTCTGACCAATTTGCTCCGAGATTGTAGCATTATCTTGGGCAATAATATATATATATACTTGGCTTTGTCTGAACAGTTTGTATGGCTGCCGATATCGGTGGTTTCGACAAATGAGCAGTTCCTTGGTGAGAAGAGGACATGTAAAAATTTTCAGATCGATATCTCAAAAACTGAGGGACTATTTGGACTATATACAGACAGATGGACATGACTTAACTCGTCACTCTAATCATTTATATACATATGTACATTACAGGACCTCCTATGTTTACGTCGGGATGTTACAGAGTTGGTGGTCAACCAAAAATACCCTATTCAAGCTATAAAAAAGCTCAAGAAATAATATAAACAAAGCGAAAACAATAGGAGAAACTATTCATCGCGACTCTCCCTTACAAAGTGTAAGCAAAAATTTAGCCAAACCGATCTAATACTGAGTAAAACTTTTGCAGAACTGGGTAAGAGCGCAAGAGATAGCTAGAGGCATTGATAGTGGTATAATGGCAAGGAAAGAGCGGTGTTTGACATGAAATGCGTGAGAAACATTGAACTTGAGCAAATTGAAGAGCTCTCATATTGTGAATATGTTTCACAAAGCAAAACATAATAACAAAAAAAGCAAAAAAGGGCATGCCGAAAATTTAATCAAATATAAAAATATGCAATATTATGTATAACACGAAATTATAGGAAAGTGTGCTTCGTTTCGATAATTCGATAGATAATAGTTAAAACCGAAAAGCAAGCGCATTAATTGAATTCGGAAGTACGAGTATTTAAGCGCTTAATTACGCCAAATTACTAACTTATATATTTACATACATACATATATATATATATATGTGCTGAGTCCACGCCTCTGATTACCACTTAACCCCTTTTTAGCTAAATTTTCCGTTTATTTTAAATATTTTTATTGTTTTGACAACTTTTATAATTCGCATGATAATCATGCTTCTAAGTAAGCCGCTTATTGATAAAGACTTTTCCATTTAAATTAGTTTCAATAATTTTTTTGCAAGATAAAGACGTGTGCCTAGCACTCACATCTTGAAGCAGAGCAGACGAGCACACTCTCTTTTATGCTATTAAAGAAAACAACAAATTGCTACATAAATTTGCTCTGATCTACATGATTATGTGGCACCATAAATATAAAAATATGTCTAATAGCTTTCTAAAAAAATGAATTACTAAAATTGTTATTGTTACAATATGTTTAATAGCTTGTTAAAAAAATTTAATTACTGTTTGTTGTTGTTAGTGTATAATTATTATGTTATTTTAATATTATGGAAGATGTTTCATATTTTTTCACACATAATTCAGTTAGAGGGTCCTTCGCGAGTGATTTTATATTGATTTTTGCACATAACATATTTTAAGTTGGGTTTCGGTAAATGAAATTTGATGAAAAAAAAAATAAAATAATTTGCTGACAAGAGAGAAATAAAGAGAGAAAATAACTGAGAGTTATTGAGTTTAACGGAATTTTATTGTTGGCATTTAAGCATGTGTTTTTTACCAATTTTTGTTGACTTTTATTCGCTAAGACTTTGTGGAGTGGTGAATCGAACATACAACTATATAAGTCATGTCGATTGGCATTATAAAATAGAGAGCGAACATATCTAAGAGTTTTTGACCTTTGTTGTTGCTACTTAAATCTGCTTTTCTTTGACTTGGAACAAGTCTAAAACCTATTACTCTTATCAAAACTTTTTCTGCAAGAAAAATTTATAACGAATATCTACAATAAATCTCTATTCCTATGTATGACTACATTTCACTCTCAGATTCCATAGCTATTTCTTCCACATTGCCCATCATTTGCCTATAACTAAAAATAACACTTTATTGCTTGGTCATCGCTGCTCGCCTAACAACTATATTTGGTTCTATGTGCTTCTATTCAGCGAGAGAGATATCTTTAGATGTAATACTAATCGAAAACTCAAAATGTGTTTAGGAAAATTACGTAGCAAATGACGTTTGAATTTGAAGCCATTAACTAAAGGCCATATATATCTTTAACATGGTTTTCTAAGTCTATTGTAAAAACCGGTTATCGCTTGCTATAGTATTCTGATATCAAATTCATAGAGGCGCGCCTCATTGTGTATAACTCAAACAGAGAGCACTCATATCTGTTTGCTCTTATGCTGGTGAGTGATTCTTTAGTGGGCGCGTAGCCACTTTGCAGCAATTAAGAAATTAGTTAGGTAGCCAAAATTGGCAAAAAATTGATATATTTGATAAGACTGTTCTCCTGTTATCAAACTTATCACATTGGTCCAATTTGCGTGACGCTAATAACGCCAACAATAAATTTGCCAAAATTATGCCTGCAGACGGACGGAAATGATGTATAGCAACATACATATACATATTCACACATCTTTTTTATGTATCTAGTGAGTGTTTGGCTTATGACAGCACACGAGTTAGACCATGCTCTGCCCCTGCGCGCGTTGCTTGTTCGCTCTTTTTTTGTTTGATGACGATAGAATTTTTTTTAGATTATACCTTTTTGTTTTTTTTTGGTCATACTTTTTGTTGTTTTTTTATACTTTTTTGTTGTTATTTAGTGGTCATACTTTTTGTTGTTTTTTTTTTATACTTTTTTGTTGTTATTTAGTGGTCATACTTTTTTGTTTTTCATCGTATTTTTTTTCAAAGCACTTTGACGTGGCTACCGCCCTCGCAAGTTCATTTCCATTATGATTTCCATTTACGTTTTCGTTTTGAAATTAAACATTTTCGCTTGCACATATTTACTCACCTAGTTTTTTCAGTTGTTGTAACACTAAGTAGCTTTCTAATTGTTCAGCAAGAAAAAAAAGTTTTGTGTTGTTGTTGTGTGTGTATTTCGTAATGTCTGCAAAAGTCGATTGTTAGAAATGTCGCGCGCTTGCAAATGTATTATTTTGTGTATAACTTCTTTTCATTGCACGCTTCTGCTACATTCACTCCGTTCAATTGGCCAAACGCGTGTCTCGCTTACTTTTGGCTCTCGCACGGTATTTATACCGTCTGAAAATCGCATCTAGTGGAAAATTTGAGATCGCTTATCAACATTTTACCTGCTGCATGATGTTGCCGAGCGTGAGAGCGGGACGCAATCGGTGAGTGGGCATTAGTTCGCGGATCAGGATGTATGAGAAAGCAGTCGCGTGCTTGAAGAAGAAGAGGAAGCAGTAATAGCCAGACAGTTGGTAATTAAGATAATCGAAATACAATAATAATTTAAATCAAAATATGAGTAATTTCAAAACATTTTTCATACTCTCGCAACATGTTGCTACGAAGTATAATAGTTTTGTTCATCTAGCTGTTCCAGTGCTAGTTCTTGGTTACAACATCAAAAGCAATGGAGAGAGATATAGAATTAGGTATATTTAAATGATCGGGATGACGAGACGAGTTGAATTTCGTGAACTGTCTATCCTTGAGTAAGAAGTAAAAGTTAAGTTAGCTTAATGAAACCTGGAAGATGTGTTTCTTGGAATCCTGAGGAGGTTAGAAGTCAGCCACATATATAAAAATATAATATATGAAATTTTTTCTGCAAGGCATCGAATTATGGAGAACATCTTGCTTTAAGGGGTTACAGGGGTTTCCTCGGCTAAAACACAGAATTTTTTCAAAATTTTTTTCTCATATAAAGAATGAAATATTTAATAAGAATTTTTTATTGTTACAAACTTGTACTATTTGCAAAGAAATTCTGAAATTTTTGGAAAAAAATTTTCCGGTGACACCTCGGAAAAAATATACATCCGCGTTGGCAGGATTACTCCCTATAGGATCCAAGTGAAAGAATACGTGTTTTAGTCAAAACTTTAACTTAGAACTTGGAAAGTGAAAATTTCTCGAAATTTTTTTTCCAATAGTTATAATTAATAATAAAATCTTTCGTCCAAGTCTTTGAGAATTGTATCTCATCAAAAATACGATTTCGAGAAAAATGGTGTTAAAAGACGGCCGAAAATATTACTCGGTTTAACTTGAAAATTTAGGACAATATTCTAGAAGTATTGTGGAATTTAATAAGATAATAACCCCTTAATATGTTTATTGCATACAGCCACGATAGGGCTTAAATGTTTCAAGGGAATCGGTGTAAAAATTAACTTACTTTTAAGTGAAATAAATCCTATACCTCTGGAAGTACTTGACCGATTCCACCTGAATTTAGTATATTAGATTATTATGAAATTTTAGAACACAGAATTGTCTACATCATGTCCACTAGCCACAACTGATTTCATCTGACAGTCTATAAAATGAAGTTATCGGAATAAAGGCAGATGTCTCACCTTTGAAAATTTTCGAAAGAGAACCAGAACTTTTCATGACGACAGATACCGAAACTGTCGTTGAATCTGTAAGGTATTTCATTAAAATTTACATAAAATATTTTTCCGATAGTTAAAAATTGACCAAAATCAGTTTTTAACTAAAATATAAAATTGACCACTGACAAATTGCCGGCGTATAAATGCTAATAAAGGTTGTAACCGAACTTCAACTTCCTTACTTTTTTATACATAAAAACATTTAGTCGTGTATATAATAATATAAAATATTAAGATGTTTAAAAGTCGAAAGGTCTTGTTGTTACTTTATTGTAAACAATCTTAATCTATGATATTTTTTCTGCTGAAAATAATAATATAGACAATTACGCCTACAATTCTTAACCTAAATTTAACAATAGCGAAAAAAACAAAAGAAAAGAAAATCAAAGCAATATAAGCGGATTTATGGACAAATATGGCGACTTATTTTTTTATTATTAATAATATTAATAATATAAAATAAGTAATTTTTTATATTTAAATTACTCAAACTTTGAATAAGTGTATTAATGGTTATCTCTCTTTAAAGTAACGATACATATCCTGAAATTGTTTGACTTACTTCGTATATGTTTCAAAACAACACAATTTTGGATTTTTCGAATAGGTTTCGTTGTAAAGAAGTTTTTTTTTCTTAAGTGCTTTAAGAAATATGTCCTTCATAGATATTACCTTAGCTGCGTTGAATACCACTAATGCCAACGGATTGGTTTCTTTTTCTGAAACAACGAGTTGTTCTCATTTTGTGAACACATTTTCGAATTTCAAACGTGAATAATGTTATAGAAAGCGCTCAAGTAAGATCTTTCAAAGATGTAAAATTTATTAAACTACATTTTAAGTATAATATTCAACACATAAATAGCAAAAGAAGATTTAACGATAAATGCTTTGTGATGCCAGAAAAGTCTGAAATTAGATCTAAAGACTCTTTCTTCACCAAAGCACTTTAAACCAGGATATGATATTTATATGCCTTTTATCTTCTTAACTACTGGTTGAAAACTTTCCAAAAGTAAAAACTTCGATTAATAAAATTCCCACTACTAAATTTTATTATTATTTTTTTTTTTTAATAAAGACATATCAAAATTGCATTTTTAGTTATTAAAAAGCAATGATTAAGAGGAAAAGTAAGAGCTACACGCATACATGAACATGTCTTATGGGATTTATTAATTTCTCGTATAACTGCATAACTAGAATAAATAGAATTAGAAATAATTCCGTCCGAGTTTTGTGTATATGTATATATCTTTAAGCCTAATTATTTTTCATGGACTTTAGTGCAGTTTTTCGAACAGGAAAAGGAAGATCGTAAATAACCATTATCTTGTATGCAAAACATGATCACTCGGCTATTGTGTGATATTGTCCATTTCACTGAAAGCACATGAATGCACAATACACAATAAGTCTCTCTTCACGCTCTCACGATCCCTCATTGCTGGCGCTCGTTGTTGCCGAATTATTGCCGATGATTATTGTATTAACTAATCAGCGGAGGAGCTGCAGCACATTTCATGATTTAATTTAAATCATTAAATCGTGGCAATTGACAGCGCAAACTCTGCTACATCTTCAATGGCTCAACTCACAAATTGTCAATAAAAACTACAGGTGTTGTATAAAGAACATCTGTTTTGCTGAAATAAATAATTTATTTGTTATATTTTCTAGTTACAGTTGTGTAATAACATGCAATCATATTATGATCTTCAAAATAAATGCACATTTATTTATTTATTTGCATTTAAATTCGTCTAAATGGGTGTCGACATCGTAATACTTATAGTACGCATAAAACTAGCTAACAAGGTCTTTTGTGTTTCAATATCATATAATATCAATTGAACTATTTTTTAATCACATATTGGTTTTCCCCATTCCTTCTACAATTAAATTCCGCTAACACACTTAAAATGTATTTAAAGCGCAAGTGCACGTTTGACTTTTAGAACTAAGCTCTCATTAGTTGTTGTTGTTGCTGACATTGTTTGTGCTGTCTCTTATACACATCTAGATGTGTATAAGAGACAGCATATTGGTTTTCCCCATTCCTTCTACAATTAAATTCCGCTAACACACTTAAAATGTATTTAAAGCGCAAGTGCACGTTTGACTTTTAGAACTAAGCTCTCATTAGTTGTTGTTGTTGCTGACATTGTTTGTGTTAACGGTGGTTGCTGTGAAAGCTTCGGCTCGTTGCTGGGTTTCTCATTTTCTTCTTCGTCAACATTTTTGGTATGCACATAAGCTAGAAATGTTGTCCAAGCCAAACTGCAGATGCTAACGAAAACGACACGATGTTGCTCAGGTACCATGGAGAAATTTATTGTCTGAATGACAGGCCAGATGCAAATGCCAACCTGTAGGAAGAAAAAAAAAAAACAAAATAATAAGTAATAAAACTATAAATGCATGTATGTTTAAGGAGTTTCATCCACTACTGAATTACAAAAAAAAAAAATTTCCGCCTCCGSTGTCAAATATAACCAATATATTGGGTAGTCGAAAAAGTCTTTTCGTATTTTGTCAATAGATGTCGTTGCAGTCGTATATCTTCAGTGCTACTGGAGATATTGAAAAGGTGAGATTATAAGCCTCATTGAAATAAAAAACAATTAAATTCGCGAAATTGAAAAAAAATTAAAGCTGCTCAAAAATAAGTCAAAATAATGAAGAAAATATATTTTGAAGTTTGTGCATAAAAAAGGAAAGAATGCCCCGCAAGCCACCAATGAAATTTATGAAGTTTGCGGAGACGATGCTGAATCAGTTCGTGTAGCACAACAATGGTTCGCTCGCTTCTGTTCTGGAAATTTCGAAATTTCTATTTACACTGATGAAAGTCTATACTGATGAAATAATGTCTCTAACGGTACAGCAAATTGGTACTTATTTGTTTATTTATTTATTGGCATAAATATAAAAAAATGAGTTTATGTTTGGTTAGAAATACGAAAACACTTTTTCGACTACCCATCAAAACTTTGATTTTTGTTTTTTTTTCTTTTGGCTACGGATTTGAAATAGATTTAAGCAAAAAAATCTTGCTCATAGCCAAACATTTTTATTCGGAACATCTTCTGGATATCGGCTAAGTGAACAAGGGACCCTATATTTTTAAAATGAATTCTCTTTTCTTAAAATACATTAATTTCTGTAAATATGTATTACCTTTACTTATTTATTTAATAAAACAAATTTATAATAATAATAATAATAATAATAATAATATATGTGCATACCTCGAATGCTTTTGGGAATTTATCTTTGACCTCTTGCACAGCCTCTTCGACGCTACGTCCTTCCATTAAGCTCATAACAAAGAAGAAGCTGGTACCAGCGAAGGGGCCATATGAGATCTGTTCGACGGCAGCCTGTTGTAAGCAGAATGATATGAAATAAAAAAATTATATAAGAATCCATATACATATATACATATATGATAAACAGATTGTAAATCTTAAAGTGAATGCAATATTTGGTACATACTTTTGTAATACCAACTCTTAAATTCATTTGCGGCCACATGACAGAGCTTAGACGCACCCAACCATATAATGTGGGGGCCACATATAGCGCGCCAAACACACCATAACGCAGACAACGCATCCAGTCGTAGGTTTCTTTATTGAAATAAAATTTATTATTTATTTACTTTTTGTTTTTGTTTTTATTTTTTTATATTTATGTTTTACTTACTGAGATCTCTACCCTCAATTGTTTGCTGTATGAGACTGCTTGTGGGCCATATTACTGCATACGAAATGACACCTCTGGCCAATGGATGTGCATTCGCAAAGCTGCGCCATTGTGATTTTAGGAGCTTGAGGGTAAATGTGGCTACCATTYTTACTATAAATTTATTTTATCTACAAAAAAGAAAATATAATATTTAAGAATAATTATAGGAAATTAAGTTTAATAATAAATTTAAATAATACAAAAAAATAATTATAAACAATTTAATTCTTAAAAAATTACATGTATATAACATTATTACTATACTGATCTTGCCGGAATTGTGTCGGCGCCTAAAAGTAGGCAAAGTTTGATCAGAATATATGAGTTCAAATGACTAAATACTTGTGATCCATTATGAAGGAATAGGCACGAACTTGAAAATGTGTATCGAATTTGCGTTTTGCTGAAAGACAAACATAAATACTACAGCTATATAGAATACGTTAAAAAAATTTAAGCGTATTATTTGATAAATAAAAACTTTCATTTTGAAAAATGTGGTTTTTTTTTGCTATTAGGTACTTATTTACTAATGCACTTATCCTAATCGAAAATAATTTAGTTTTTATTAAAGCTTATTGCTAACAATCGCATTATTATTTTATTGCACTTTCGCGTGTATGCGAGCAAACTTATTATTACTAAACTATACATAGTTATCTATAATAAAAAATTTGGAAAAAGAAAATGAAAATAAGCACTTCTATAAATACATATGTATGTATTTATTTTTGTTGACGAATTTCGTAAAAATTTAGAACTAGTCACTTAATTAGTCTATGCATAATGTTATAAAACCCTGCGAAGTATCTCTTATTCTACCTTCATATAACTTGAAAGGGCTCACGTAGCGTGAAGTTTTGGAAAAATTAAATGTTATATTTTTGGCATATTACGACAGTCTATACCTTCAAAATTTGCATACTAAAATTTTGGTTGCATCTAATATATCTAATATCTTTTTGAGTTACAGGTTTCTAAAGTGTAGCTGGTCGGTTCAATAAGCTCAATCAGTTTATCTTTAAGGGGTTACATGGGTTTACAAGTTTTATATTTTTTTATTATCTCATTAAATTCTAAAACACCTCTAGAATATTGTTCCAAATTTTCATGTTGATCCCAGTAATAGTTTTGGAGATACGGCCTTAAGAACTTGTGCGCACGAGGATAGTTAGGCTAAGGGCGTGGTCTTTAAATTTGCTTTCCTAGAAACTCTGTTTTTGAATTCGGTTGGAAAGATTTCTCGAGAATTATCCAACCGAGATAAAATTATTAAAGACTTGAACAAAGGATTTTTTTTTTCGATTAGAACTATTTGAAAAAAAAAAATGTTCCTGAAAAAATTTCCCTGAAATTTTAATTGTTTTTTAAAATGTCTGATAAAAATTCAGTTTTAATTTTTTCCTTCGTTCTAAGTTAAGGTTTTAACTAAAAGATGTATTTTTTCACTTTAGAAGATCCAACAGGAGGTTGGAGTTATCCTGGCAACGCGGAAGCATCTTTATTCCGAGGGGTCATTAAGTTTAAAATATTTTTTCCAAAAATTTTAAAATTTTCTTCTTTATATGAGAAAAAATGAAATGAAAAAAGGCTGATTTTACCCGAGGAAACCCAAGTAACCCCTTAAGCGTTGTTTTCCGAAACTAGATTTTTTAAATTTGCTTTTGTAATTACTAGGAGATTAATAATGCGGTTAGTATCAAATTTTTTCAACATGGTCTGTAAATTTTTGAAAAGTCAACCATTTTGTTTATTTTTGTGTTTTTTTTCGATTGCAGGTCATTGTACGAACAATATCTTCTAAGAGTATTTGAGGTTGATCAAATTAAAATATTATTTAAATCTACACCTTAAATACTATTATAATATACCCCAAAGTGAACATTTATATATTAAATCCAACACTCTTCAACTGACAACCGGGTGAAAACAAAACTTTATTTGTTTCAGGAAATGCACTTATGGTTAGAAACACTTGCGCGCATGCACATATTTATGTATACATACATAAATTTGTATGTATGGGTAAAAAATAACTGAGAGAGGTATAGCACATGTGCGAGAGACATTGAACTTGGCATTTGAAAGCTTTTATTTTGTTGTGTATATTCAAGTGAGTCTATATATGCACATATGTGTGCATGTATACTGAAGTATATAAGAATCTATATAAGTGCAATTGCAAATAGGTAATGTAAACACAAGCTGTCTGAAATAGTTTGGATCAGCAAATATTAATGAAACTTCAATTTTTAAAGCTCTTTCTATTTATAAATGGGAATATTAAAAAATGGTTTGGAAGTTCTAGAAAGTATTTTCAGTGAGGAATCTATTAATTAATTGTTGTGTTATTATTAATTATGTTACCATCATATCTCTTCACAAATATAAATCATTTATAAGGCTTCTGCATCAATTGTGACTGATTTGTTCAATATTGCACAAAATTGTACACCATTTTAACAAATTTGATCGGAACTGACAAACAAAAAAAGGATTTTACTTAAATTCTTTACTACCGCCTTAAAAATTCCTCAGTGAATATAAGCATGCTTAATCCAATTTTCTAAAGAGTTTGTATAAGCATCGACTGAAATAGTCTTCAGAGCTTTCAATGATTTTTTATTTTTTATTTTTATTTCGATTCATTTTTGGAGCGTAATTTGCTAAATGGACAACATATTAATAAATCCACGCCTCGTCAGCAGTAATGATGCTCAGCAACATTCTCAAAATCCTCTTTGCCGACCTCTATTCAACGTTTGCAGAATTTTTAGATCTATTGGTATGAGTCCAGCATAGTTACGCTTCATATCCAAAACATTAACCAAAATGTGATGCGTTCATTCATAAAAGATGTTGAGATCCTCTGCTATCTCTCTGATGCTAACACGGTGATTTTAAAGAACTGTTTCTTTAACTTTTTCGATGTTATCCTCATTCACGCAATGTTTTATGTCTCTAAGAACATGTCTTCATAATAAAGTGGCATCCAAAAAACACTACCATAACATTTTCAACGATTCAGTCGTCTTGATTTCATTGGAAACACAAAATTTTAAGTAAACTCATTGCTAATATTTTTCGGTGGTTAAAATCGGCAAACTATTGGCGTCGTAAAATATGGAGAACAGACATAAAATATGTTGTTATCATCTAGGAAAAAATTTGATCGATTCGTTTTGCGAGCCTCTGGACCAGTCCGTGTCAAATTTGACTATATTATATTTTCGCGGTTTTATTAATGTTTTACGCATAATAATTTGCTATATGGTCGATATATGAGATAGAAAATTTTGTGACAAGACTCTAAAGCCAAATCAAATCATGATACTCAATAAATGTGAAAACATATGTATAATATATGTATATGCATATAAACTTACATATAATTTAAAAAATGGAAAATAAATAATGACTTGTGCCGTATACATAGATATTGCGTAAATGGAAGAAATTAAAAAGAAAAAGATATTTAATTTCTAATAAAGAGTCTCAATGTAATAGAAAATAGATAGCTTTATCTACCGCAAACAAGCATTATTTTTATTTACAAGACAATGCACTGCTCTTTTACGTAGAGATTTCAGACCATTATTGTTAATACCGTCAATAATAGGAGATTTGTTTAGCTTTCAAGTTCTTTAGTATTTATCGGCTTTAAAATAGGCTATTTTTAAAACCTTACAAGCATGCCAACGCTTAATCCAATTTTTCACACACTTATTATAAGCCGCGGCTATGATGGCTTTCAGTGGCTTCGCGGAATTTGTTTTTTGCGCTTTCTTATAGTTTTTGGAGTGCCATACGCCAATGTAAGGTTCTCAGCTACGTTGTCAAGGATTTGTTTTTTGACCTGTTCTTGATATCGTTTTTGGACAAGATTCAGTCCTTTTGTTTCTTTAACTTTTTCGAGTTTATGGTCATTAACAGTGGATGGCCAAGGTCAGCTTTCGATGAGTTTGCGACCTTTACTTAATACTTTCTGCCACTTAAATGCTTTTATTCGTGTTAAGACAAATTCTCTAAAACATTTCTTCAACAGTTTCATTTGAATCCAAAAATTGCAAGCAAACTGATTGTTAAATTTTTATCCATATTAAAAATCGCCAGGCAAACGATTTCCATCGTAAACGAACATCTACCAGACAGACACTAATTGACAAATAAAGAAAAAACTTCACAATTACATAAATAAATTTTGAGCCATTCTAGAGGGTGACTCATTTCGAGGTTCCCTAATTTTATAGAGAAAAAATACGGAGTCATTCCATGATGAAATGCCAAACAAAACTGAACATAAATAAAACGCCAGCTTGACGTGAGTATGCGTGATCTGTCAAAAAATGCTTTTGCAAAAAAATACCTCTACTTGGATCACCCGTTAAAAAATGTAACAATACGTTTTGCGCGTGCAATTTAAGTACACAAAGTACGAAACAAATTTCATCAGCTGGCAATTTTGCACTTCTAATAATGATGTAGTTTATAATCTATACGTGTTATGACAACGCTGATTAAGATTTTGTCACAAGGCTTTATCTCCATGTTAAAGACAAACACGATACTCAATATACATATGTACATACATGTGTATGTACGTAAAAATTTACATACATTTAAACATACTTATGTACATACATATGTATCTGTATTTAATATGCAATGTAAATCATGACTACTGTCATGTAATTGTAATTTGTTCTGTCACAAGTAATTTTAAAACCTTTATTATATGGCAATTCGCCATGCAATTTAAACTGTTTTTTAGAAATGACATTAGCGGAAAAAAATAACAAATCACAAATTGTTTATTCACACGCCTGCAATTTCAAGTAATAAGTCAGCATTTCATAAGGCAGTAATATATGGAACTCAAGAGCAGCATTTAAACCAGCTGATTTACATAATATTCGCGTGACAAACGCACACACACCAACATTTGATCCCGCAGTTGATGACGAGCGACGCCGCCACGCACCAGCTGACGCACATATTCTTTTGCCTTCTCCGCGTCATCGCACACCGACGAAACATCGGAAATCACACCACAAGCATTTCAACTACTCTCTCAAACATTTATACATAGATTGTATGTACAATTGTTGCGAACTATGGAGTTTTCATAAATCAATTCTTACGGTCTATTTTTAGAAACTGTCCAGCTTTGTTACCGTCGAGGGTTTGCTCACTTGCTCAATATTTAATCAGACATCACTTTCTTAACACTACTTATTTTTTCAATTATAAGAAGTTATATTTTCCCCGCACAGCAGATTTCACAAATGTTCAACGCCCGCGTTGGATTATTACTGAGAGAATTATTCTCGAAAGTGAATGTATTTTAGCAAAATTTGTTCGCAATTTTCATTGATAAACGTGGGAGCTTACTACAAGCATATACGTGTATGTGTAATTCGTTAGTTGATGAGAGAAGTACTCACAAATGCTGAGAAAGTTTACGCCAAACAGCATTTTTGTATTTAAAACTAGACAAAAATAAAGCAATAAATAATTAATTTAAATCAAAGAACTTGGATCCCTTCGAGCTTGTTATGCTCTTGGTGATTTATTATTATTAAAAATTATATGTGTTAATTTCAACCATTTCTCTTACTAATATTCACGTTAAAAATAAAAAAGAAATGAAATGAAAAATTTCATTAAAAAAATATTGTGCAATAAAATTGATGCCATAAGACCCCAATTGAATTGACTAAACTTTACATTTTGACAGCCGTGGTAAATAAAGCACACCACAGTTTGAATGCCTCTGCACCTTTCACATCCGTCATCGCATAAGTAAGAAAAGTCAGTAGCTCGCGCCTAAAATTGTGATTTCCGCGTATAAGTGCGTTTACTCCGTCGCGAAACAGTTAAATTCGGTAAATCGGTTATTAAATGTGTTATAATTAAGTTAAAATGGAAGTTTATTTGTATTTCTGTGTTGTTATATGTTTGGCATTAAGTATAGAATCGAATTGCTGCTTAAAAACGAAATTCTGATATTCCTTCGCTGCATCGGCACACACCAGCGGCTGGCGTGGGTTATCCGCATAGCATTTCAACAGCTTGTGCTCCAATTTCTTCAGGTTTTCGCTGTGCACTTCAGCAAAGCGTACGGGTTTGCCTAGCATGGCTTCTAATTTCTCCAAAGTTTTCACATATTGCGCCTCCTGCAATTCATTTGATTTCATCGCCAACAAGCTGGCCTCTTTGTCTTTGCCCTTGAAGAAGCCGCAGGTGCAACAGCGTGCACAATGTACTGGTTCGTCTTTTGTTGGTGCCGGCACTGCAACTTCGGCAATTTGTTGCTTGGCACTTTCCAGGCGATTTATAACGCTCGGTGTGACGTGTATGGCGCTGGCACGCACTGGATTGATGATGGTCGCCGTTTGCGGCGTGGAATTTCCTGCACCCATCGGTAAGTGGTTGTACCAAATTAGATGCTTTTATTTATAAAATACTTTTTACAGTCGTATGGAAATTGCAAATTATATTTCGTTACAGATTTTACGAAATTTTCAAAATGACTCGAATTTATTAAAATGTCAATCGGATTTTTTGAGACTTAACAACAGGTGAGTACACTGAGAAAAAATTGTGTTCTTGATTTGAATTAGGATTATTTTTTTATTTTGTGTAGAAACAATTTGTAAAATTTAAGTAATTAGTTTAAATTTGAATATTGTCTCGGTTGTGTAAAATATGTATTCCGTTATAAATATGTATGCATACATTTAAAAAAAAAATTTAAAAATATCGTAACAAGAAAATAAGGTTTTTGTAGCTTAAATAGTTCAGGAGATATGTATGTACATTAATTTTATTAGAGGGCCACGCCACTTTTTCAAAATTTTTTATTCACAGTTGTCCCTTGATATCCCCTGTGCCGAATTACAGTTTTATATCTTAATTTAGTGCTTAGTTATGGTAGTTTATAGGTTTTTGGTTATGGACATTTTGTAGACGTGGTCCGCTTATTTTTTTTTGTACAAAGGAACCCGCATACCAAGTTTCATTACGACATTTCAATTTTTACTCAAGGGTTCTGGTTATTCGAATAATTTAAATAGTCCTAATACATATGTATATACCGTTATACTGTTAGAAAGGACCAGTTAATCGTAACATACAATGATAACATTCTCTGTTAAGAAAATATATCTTAACATTTTCTGTTACATTAACACTTTTGCCTTCAAACGTGTCGCATGCAACATGCAACCTCGGCCAGCGCACAATTCGGTATGGACGAACAAAATTTGTAAATTTTCTTCAGTTGTATTTTGTGAAACGCCGGTATTAGATTGGTGCGCGCATACGCGTCGTTCCTGTGTGGTAAAACGAAGTATGTTTTTATTAGAATTATTAAAAATAATACAAAAATTGAGTGTTTCTAAACGCGTCTAAACGTAACGAGTTAAAAATATAATGAAATTCGAATAAGAAACGAATTGTTATTCAAATTGTTTTAAATATATAATTTGCTGTTTTCAATGCTGAAAATTGTGCCTTTTAATTATGCGTATTGAAACGAATAAGAGCAACGGTAAACTATAACTGAATAAATTTACACATTTATTGAAAATAATTTACGCATTGTCCAAGTATAAAACAAGTCTTTGAAATAAGGCGCTAGCGTGGCATAGATTATTATAAATTAAGTAAGAATTAAAAATACACAGGTGTATATAATCGCAAAGTTTTTGTTGGTGTGTAATGTATGTGTTTTTATTAGTATACAGCAAGTGGTAAAAAAGTGTATTTGCTTTAGCGGTATATTGTTTTCATTGGTATGCAGGTTCATACATGCTCTTGTATAAGTGTTATTGTTTGTTTACAAGTTCGTTCATTTATTTCGTATGTATGTTCACGAAGTTAAAATACGTGTGGACAATCAATGCCGACGTCGATAAGAATTCAATAGTGTGACAATTAGTAAACTGCTCGTTTGTATATGGAATCGTGCAAATATTAGTACTAGAAATAATTTATACTTACGTGCACGATATGTATGTAGCTTGTTAATTTATGAAGTACTATCTACTGAATTTTGTTTTTTGTTTTGCGATGACGAAGTTTATCTGCTTTTTATATGTACGTACATACACATGTATATGCATGTATGCATGATCATATTTATAAGTGATAAGCGCTGACTTACCGGTGAAATCTAATAGACTGATAAGAATCGCGTTTGAAACTTTTGCTCGCCAATTAAGTTTATGTTCGAGGAGTAAATATCTTAAATAAATAACAGTAAATGAAATTGAATTTTTTGTGCTTACTGCCGGCAATTTGCAGAAGTGAAAAAACAATCAGTAAATAATAATTTGGCTAAATGTAAAGTTAATTGTGAATATGTACGGGTATGAGTGTTAATAAATTTTGAAAAATAAAATAATTATACTTTGAACAAATTAATA